CCCCCCCTCCCCTCCCTCCCCCCATCCGTCGGGACTGTCGCTTCTGTCGCAGGGCTGGTGCAGAAAATTACGCTGTGGAGAAAATAAATCTCTTTGGCATCTTGGGTGTTGTGCTGTAGCAAGTTCGGTGCCTTTGCCGATACGTTGCAAGAAGCTAAAAAGCCAAGCCAAGCCATGTCTGTTGGGTTACTCTAGTATGCTGCTGTTAACAGAGCTTGTTTCAAATAATCACAGAATCACAGAATCACACACACAGAATCACAGAATCGTAAGGGTTGGAAGGGACCTCAGGAGATCATCTAGTCCAACCCCCCTGCTAAAGCAGGCTCACCTAGAGCATGCTACACAGGACTTCATCCAGGCGGGCTTTGAATATCTCCAGAGAAGGAGACTCCACAACCTCCCTGGGCAGCCTGTTCCAGTGCTCTGCCACCCTCAGAGTGAAGAAGTTCTTCCTCATATTCAACTGAACCCTCTCGTGTTTCAGTTTGCATCCATTGCCCCTAGTCCTGTCGCTGGACACCACTGCAAACAGACTGCTTCCGTCCTCTTGACTTCCGCCCTTAAGATATTTGTATGCGTTGATGAGATCCCCTCTCAGTCTTCTCTTCTTCAGGCTGAACAAGCCCAACTCTCTCAGCCTTTCCTCGTAGGGGAGATGCTCCAGTCCCTTTATCATCCTAGTAGCTCTCCTCTGGACTCTTTCTAGGAGTTCCTCGTCTTTCTTGAACTGGGGAGCCCAGAACTGGACACAGTACTCCAGGTGGGGTCTCACCAGGGCAGAGTAGAGGGGGAGGAGAACCTCCCTCGACCTGCTGGCCACACTCCTCTTAATACACCCCAGGATACCATTGGCCTTCTTGGCAACAAGGGCACATTGCTGGCTCATGGTCAGCTTATTGTCCACCAGGACTCCCAGGTCCCTCTCAGCAGAGGTGGCATTGCTCAAGGAACAACGTCAGGGCCGATCCTGTTCAGCATCAGCATCATCAGTTACCAGCACAAGGGGCGGAAGGCACGTCAGCAAGTCGGCGGGTAATGGTAACCCAGAGGGGGGGGAAGCAGTTCACGGCCTTGATGGCAGGATTAGTCTTCAGAGGTACCCTGGATGAGACAGAGGAACGGGCCAAGAGGAACCTCCTGAAGTTCAGCAAACACAAAGACACTGTCCTGTCCCTGAGCTGGAATAGCCCCCAAGCATCAAGATGGGGTTGTGGACCCACTGGTTGGAGCAGCTCAGCCAAAAAGCATTGGGGTGCTGGCAGGCAAGACGAGGTGGCTTCCCCCAGAGCCCTCCCAATCCAAGGGGTTCTATGATTCCTAATAACTGTATCTCCCAAAGACCAACTTGACTTGGCCCTGGGTTTTTTCATCTTTTTTCAAGACAACATCCACCACTCTCCCTTTGTCTACCCAGCCGGTCATGCCATCATAGAAGGCTATCAGATTGGAAATAAGGGAAATAATCTGTGGCACTGTACTGTTGGGCCTTGCTACTGGCATGGCTACCTCCCTGCTGACTTTTTTTTCTGGTATATGATCGCACGCCTTACCAAAATATTTACAACAGGATAACCTTCTCGGTGACAAGCAGCCTTTGGCCAAAACACACACCTTCATCCCAACCATCTTTTCTGCGTAGACATCGGGTGACAACCTTAGGTTTTGACAGACCAGTTTAAGCACCTAGATTAAGGTCTAAAATGCTAACAGAGAGAGACAAGATAAAGGCGTGTTAGAAAAGAGACTGCCAAACTTCAGCGGAGCTTAAATATCCCAGGTGAAACTCAGACATTGGTCCATCTCTAACTGTAAAGCCCTCTGGGAATAATTTCTAGATTAAGCACATATAAATAATATATGTAGTGTATAAATAATACATAGCGTCACGCCCTACGACGAGGCTGTGATACAGTGTGTTGTGGTTTAACCCAGCAGGCAGCTGAACACCACCCAGCCGCTCTAGCTCCCTCCCTCCCCAGTGGGATGGGGGAGAGAATCGGAAAAAAAATGTGAAACCCGTGGGTTGAGATAAAGACAGTTTAATAAAACAGCAGAGGAAAAGAATAACAACAACAATAATAATAGTGGTACTAGAATATACAGAATATACAAAACAAGTGATGCGCAATGCAATTGCTCACCACCCACTGACAGAAGCCCAGCCCGTCCCCGAGCAGTGATCCCTGTCCCCCCCAGCCAACTCCTCCCGAGCATGATGCTCTATGGTCTGGGATATCCCTTTGTCCAGTTGGGGTCAGCTGTCCTGGCCGTGCCCCCTCCCAGCTTCTTGTGCATCTCCAGCCTTCTCAGTCGGTAGCCTGGGAAGCTGAAAAGTCCTTGACTTAGTGTAAGCACTACTTAGCAACAACTAAACCATCAGTGTGTTATCAACATTGTTCTCATACTAAATGCAAAACACAGCACTATGCCAGCTACTAGGAAGAAAATTAACCCTATCCCAGCTGAAACCAGGACACACTGGAAAGAAAGGAAAGGGAGGGAGGCAGCCGACAACGCCTCCATCTCCAACAAACCATCCTCAAGGCAGAGTGACCCAGGGAGCAGCTGGCAATGCCAGCGTCACCCGTGGGGCCTCCTGCCCCACTTCAGCCGCCAGGAGTAAGCACTGGGTGTACGGCAGGCATGGGCCCGGCCGTGCAGCACAGGCACGTGCCGCTTCTGCAGGGAAATCCCAAAGCAGCTTCCCCACATTATGGAACCCCAAACGTTGCCCCCTCAAATGTGATGGTAATAATACTGTCGGCTCACTAATAGGGTGGTCTCTTTGCTCATTGAAAAATGACATGTAATCTAATGACGTTAGAATGAAGGGCTAAGAAAAAAGGTATGTGTGCTAATGATATGTTTTGTTGTAGACCGTGTACGGTTAACTGAGAGAAAAGGTTGGCCAGAAGAGAGAGAGCAAAGGAGAAAGAGAAAAAATAATACTGAAGTCTAAAAAATGAGCGATACATGGACACCCTATGGCACAGCCCGTGATGGATCATTCTGTTAAATTCTCTGAGCTGCTGAGATCTTTATAAAGGTGAAGCGGCTGACCCTGAGAGACAGTCAGGATCCCCCTGACAGCCAGGGATGCAGGGGAATGTCTGAAGCCGTGCCCCTGCTTACCACCCTGCCCTGAGCATCAGCAGGCAAAGGGCAGAGCTCAGGACTTGCTCCTTGTCAGAGCTGCTGGGTCCTGAGAAGACAACAGACCCGTAACCAGCAAAGAACCAGGAACTGTTCTGCGGTGTGACTGCTGGGGGGGGGGGCTTTTAAGCTGTAACCACTGATAAAGCCACTGCAAGGGGGGGCAGTGTGTCTTTAGCTGCCCTTCAGGCGCCAGAGGTCACATGCTAACCCTGAAAGACAAGATTCAATTAAAAAAAAAAGACTGATCTTTAGAAAAGCTAGGCCTGCATCTTTCATTTTACCAATACAGCCGAAGCGTGCTATTTTG